TATGGACAATATTATATTTATTGTCAGAGTATTATGATATATTACAGCAGTGAGTGAACTCTGTGCCTCTGAGCTTCAGTAAAGATTCAAGTTGCAGTTATTTATATTTCCTGTCACCTTAAATCTTCACTCACAGACACTCAAGTATCTGTGACAGTGTGTATACAGATGTGTTATGTATAAGAGACAAATATTGTTCGTTTAATATGTTGGTACTAAATTCGGCTCAATGCTTACATATATGTATAAAAAACAAAATGTCCGAGCCATGATAACTGTGTCTGATAGAATGAAGAGTCGACTGATATATGAAATATTCCTTTATTGGGTGAGAAAATCAGACCATGTCATAACTGCTGTAAGTCGCACAGAATAGACATCAGAGCCTTAAACAGGCTGACGTCTGCTAAATGGGTCAAACTGGGCAGAAAGTCTACAAACACATAACATCCTTATAGAATATGATGTAACACTATAGATCAACTTAGCTCAGAATATATAAAGCATATAAACAGTTACAGCAATATGATGCAACAAACACAGCAGCTACTGATCCAAAATACTCAAAGCTTCATAGAACTGAAACCAACATTTATTTTAGCTCCATCCTGCTGCTGATACAGACTTTAGGTTTCTGAACATTAAACTTGTTGCTGCCTTTCATAGTGTGTAACCTGAAGGCCCTGAGTACTTTCTCCCACACTGGAAACAAATTCAAATTTTATTTCAAATTTTATTTGTCACGTACACAGTCATACACAGTACGATATGTAGTGAAATGCTTGGACAACTGCTCGTGACCTAAAGAAAACAAAAAAAGGAAAAGGCTATGAATAAGATAGGAAATAAATATGAAAAATTAAAAAGGGTAAAAAGGGTAAATTTAACTGGGATGATCACATTATTTGAACATTACTTAATAAGACTGATTCAGCACAGACAGTTATGTTAAACTTTCCTAGCAGTCCTTCACAAACAGGGAACAGTCTGTCTGTTCTCTCCATCTGTCAGCTGCTGCTGGAGAACACTTCAGATTGGGACAGCCTTCGTAGCGTCGCTGTGACGTAATAGGTCCCAAAATGCGTACTCGAAGCGTGCGGACGCTAAATTGGGACACAGCCAATGATCTGAGATGGACTGACTCACCTGCACAGGTGAGCTGTGTGACAGCAAAGAGCTGATTATCAGCAGAGGAAACAGGAAACACTTTAAACTCCTCCTCAGCTCTAACTCAGCTGCTCCTCTGACAGCAGGTTATGATCAATAATCACTCTCTGAAAGCTGATCAGGTTATTGTAGAGGTGTCAAACATAAGGCCCGGGGCCAGAATCGGCCCAGTAAAGACTCTGATGGACCTGCTGGATGCATCTACAACATATGATGGGGGCGTAAAGTTTTTGTGTCTGTAAAAGTTTCCTGCTGACAAACACAGCTGTGACTCTCACTGTCACAGTAACACACATGAACTCAGGTGATTTCAACTGGAAACTATTTAAATAACACATAAAGTCATATTTCACAGTGTTTGTAAACAAACTGAATCATTTTATTAAAATAAAGTTGGTTTTATTTTGAAAATCCTCAGTGTGGAAGCTGATCAGGCTGAACTTCATTTTGAAGAGTCTATAAATATTGATTATTGATCGTGCTGTCTGTCTCGGATCATGTTCACCTCCAGCTGCTGTCTGCCTGGACACTGATGACATCATGAACTGTGAGCTCTGTGATTGGCTGCTGTGTGTTAGAGCTCAGCTGCACTTTCAGTTCACTCAGATACTTCACTCACACTCTGTGAGGTCCACACACACTCACACACACTCAGAGTTTAACTGTCAGAGAGCTGCTGATGAAGATGAAGGAGCTGCTCCTCTTCCTCTCCTGTGTCCTCTGTGTCTCTGCTGACGGTGAGTTTGTCTCTGTAAACAGCAGCTTATTGATCAGGTTATTGATCAAGTTATTGATCAGTGTTTGATGTGTTTCAGGTCAACACAGTGACATTAAAATCGCTGGCTGTTCAGACTCTTATGGAGAGGAGATGTATGGACTGGATGGTGAAGAGAAAGCCTACGCAGACTTCAACAAACAGGAGATGATCTACCCTCTGCCTCCTTTTGTTGATCCTATGACTGTACCAGGAGCTTATGAACAAGCTGTGGCTAATCAACAGTCCTGCCAACAGAACCTGAAGATTGTTCGTGTGGGGATGAAGGACTTCCCTCCCAAACACAGTAAATACAACATGTAACACCTGTCTCACCTCACCTGTGTTTACCTGCACGCTCTGTAGAGTAACACACTGATGACATCATCAGCATCGATGTATTCTGTCCAATCAAACACAGCCAGCTTCAGCCTGATTAAATACAAGAAATAATTCCACCTTAAGCACATTCAGACTGATCATGTGTACAGAAACACTGACGTGTTTATATTTGTGTTCATGTTTCAGTATTTCTGAATGCAGTATTCTGCATTTACTGCAGATCACAGTTTATTTTATTTTTCCTCCTCTTAGTTCCTCTGAAGCTGAACTGAGTCTGTCTGTAGTTTAACTTCATGATTCTGACCTCACTCTAGCTTCTCTCACACAGACAGTGATGACATCATCTGACTGAACACCTGAACGTTTTATTGATGTTTATTATCATCATGATCACCTGCTGATGGGAACCAGCTGAAGCTCTGATCCTCTGCCTGATGTGTTTGTGCACAGTTGCTCCCTCAGTGATGATCTACACCAGAGATGAGGTGGAGTTTGGAGAGAATAACACTCTGATCTGTCACGTGACTGGTTTCTATCCTGCTCCTGTCAACGTCTCCTGGACCAAGAACGAGCAGAAGGTCACAGGATCCAGCATCAACACTCCCTATCCCAACAAAGACGGTTCCTTCAGACAGACGTCCAGATTGGACTTCACCCCACAGCTGGGAGACATCTACAGATGTGCAGTGGAACATCTGTCCCTGACTGAACCGCTGACCAAGATCTATGGTGAGAAAACTTTATTTAAATGTCTCTGTGTGTTTCTGTCTCCAGAGGTGAAGACTGAGCCCAGTGTTTATTACAACAGCTCAACAGCTGGCTCTGATCTGAGCTGACAGTTTGAGACAGATGTTGGCACATCATCCTGTGTTTCCTGTTTGTGTCCAGATGTGGAGGTTCATGTTCTCTGTGTTTGTGTCTCCAGAGGTGGAGGCGTCCGCTCACTCTGATCCAGGTGTTGGACCCTCTGTGTTCTGTGGAGTGGGTCTGACTCTCGGTCTGGTCGGTGTGGCTGCTGGAACCTTCTTCCTCGTCAAAGGAAACGAGTGCAGCTGATTGGCGCACAGTGATGATGTCATCAGTGTTATATGATGAGGTCATAATCAGTGTGACTGTCCTGTATGTAAGTGTGCAGAGTTCACCTGTAATGAACATCAGATTCCTGTCTGCTTCCTGTTTACCTGCCTGAAGTTAATCACCTGTATGAGCTGTTCTGTCTGTCATCATGTGTGTCAATAAAGTTTGACTCTGGAATTAAAATCAAAGCTACTTTCAGCCGCTCTCCAACCACAGCTCCACATGTTCGATCCAGCAGATGTTACCTGGACTCTGTTCCTGCCACAAAAACAAAGAAGATAAAAGTCAAATCATTGTTGCTGAAATCAGTTTCATCTGAGCTCAGGTGATCTCAGTGTGTTCATAAACTGCTATAATGACTCAATGTTTATCAAACTGTGTTTCAGATCGTTATGTATCAATAAAAACGTGGGTAATAAACACAAATCTGTGAGTCTGTTCTTTGTGTGTTGTTACAAATGCTCACTCTCTGTGGTTTGAGTCAGTGCAGAGCTGAGTCAGGTGTGTCTCACTGGTGTTATTATTTAGGTTCTGTTTCCTGTTTGTTGTCACGTGACGTCATTGGTCAAACATACAGTTTAATGAAGGAATCTGTGTGTGTGTTTAAAATGAAAGATATCTGAATTTATCTTAATGCCACACAAAGATATAAAACTACATTTCTGATTATGTGTATGCTGATCCAAACAGGTGAGAGAAAAATCAATTAACAGTTTATAGAAATGAATCAAACATGTTTAACACTTCTGTTGTAACATATTTTAATATATAACGTTTAAATTGATCCTGAATGCTGTTAAAATCTCATCATGATTCAATTCAGTTTTCTTTATATACCAATAAATCCCACCAATAGCGACCTGAAGGAGTCACTTTTGTAAGGCAAAGATGCTACAGTAACACAGCACAATAATCATTTTATATGAGCTGATGTCCATCTGCTGCAGTCTGACTGTTAACGATTTTATGTTTGAATTTGTCTGCTTTAGTATTTAAATGGCAAATTCTAATTATTATTTAATTTAATCACAGGAAAACGGGATTCAGCTGCTCCGAACACTGAAATGTAAAAATATATCTCTACATGATGACATCATACTTCACATTAATTAAAAAAAACCTGTTTTCATCTTTGAGACACTTCCATCACATCCATGAGGCCTGTGCTGTCACACAGAGGAGCATCAGCCAGCTGCATGGAAATCTTTCACAATAAAAGTGTTTCTATCCTTTTACTTTTAAAGACAAACAGGAAGTGTTAATATAACAGTGCGATGCAGTCATCAAAAGTGCTACAAAGATGCTGGATTGTTTTATTCATTATTAAACAGGAGGAAGAAGAGAGAAGATGACAGTTTTTAATATTACAGGTTGATGTCAGTGGCCAATTCAAACTGTTTGGTACAGATAAATATTAAAGATGAATGATGCTCTGACTGTGGGAGATAAATGAGAACAGAAGATTCTGAGTGCTCTCTGTTTTTAAAGCTTTAATGGACTTTAACAGACAAACACACACGGTGATGAAGAGTGTGAGCTGTGAGCTGGTGTCACAGAGTTCTTCCTGGTAACAGATGATACTGTGGTCATGTGACCTCTTCTCTGTTTTTAGAGCAGCTCTCAGTCAGACTGAGTCAGTTTGTCAGGAGAACTCAGGAACATGGCTTCATCCTTCCTCTGCCTCCTCTTCATCAGCCTCAGCACAGCAGGTATGATCGATATACTCATCAATACACTCCTTAATATACTGCAGAGATACACTGATCACCAATCACTGTACTGATCACTGGTCAATACACTCATCACTAATCAGTATAGTGATCAATACACACAAATCCACTCATCGGCACACACATACACTCTCTCACTGGTTGTGATCAATACAGTGATCAGTCCTGATGTTCTGTTTGTTCTCAGATGGATTCATGGAGTATTATGTGTATCACTGTGTGTTTAACTCCACTGATCCGAAGGACATCCAGTTCATCGACTCTTACTATTACAACATGATGGAGGTCGTCAGGTTTGACAGCAATGTGGGAGAGTATGTTGGATACACTCAGCTGGGAGTGAAGAACGCAGCAGAATGGAACAAAGATCCAGGACGGCTGGCTGCACGGAGAGCTGAGAAGGAGAGGTACTGCCATAACAACATTGGTCTTGACTACAGCAACGCTCTGTCTAAATCAGGTGAGCGTGCTGGTCTGTGTGACATCATCAGGTGTTGACCTCACTCTGAATCATTCATGATGGACTCACAGCTGCAGGTCAGACTCTGGTGATCAATGACTGTAATAAATCACTGATCACAGCCCTGACTGTGACACCACAGAGCTAACCTCAGTCTGTGGCGCTCCCTGCTGGTGAAACAGGCAAACTGCAGCTGTTCATCATAACACACTGATGATACTAAATTATTGATTTAACCTGTTCAAGGTGAAATGTTGCTTTATTTTATTAATATTTCCATATAAATATTTCTAACAGCATGAAGCAGCCTGACATGTTATTGAACACGTTTTACTTCTTTACTTATTTTAAAGCAGATAAATCTTATAAACACTGATGTTTGTTTAAAGTTGGATTTTCACACTAATGTGTGTCTGCAGTTTGTTTCTTTGTTGTTTGTTGGTTTCTTTAACAGCTTCACACCTGCACACATTTACAGCTCAGATCAATGAGTCAGTGTAACAGTGGAGCCATTAAATATACTGAAACAATTATTAAGTTATCATCATAACACACACAACCTGTGAGCTGTGTAACATGAGCTTAATAATTCATGTGTTCCAATGGGACAGAACACAGTTTTCCGCTGGTTGAACCGTCTGATAATCAAACGAGTGTTTCTTCATGTCATGAACTACAGTCAGCTCCCAGCAGCTCAGAGGAACATGAGGAGAACCAGCTCAGACCTCCTGTGGAGGGGAAGCTGTCTGATAGTGAAAAGGGATTCCACATGTCGTATCCATCACTTTTGGGTTATAGATGGCTAGATCTACAGTGCACCTGAGTGCACCTTGAGTGTTGACCCATGTGTAGATGAGCAGGCTGTTTAAAGCAGGAACTTCCTTTCTGTGAGATGGTGTTACCTTAGAGAAGGAAGCATGTGTGAGAGGTTTCCTCCATCAGCCAGCAGCTCTTATGTGACCCATCTGTGTGTAACTGGTTAGAAATATGATCTAATAAACAGTCACAGTGACCCCTTCAGGCTCTGGATGGTACAGTCTGATCAGAGTTCCCCTCCATCAGGGCCTTGCTCACCACCACCATCATGATCTCCTCCACCATCATTGTTCAGCCTACAGCTGGGCCTACAGTTGTCTATACCTACACCCAAACGTAATGAAACAGCACCCAGTGTAACACATTCATTAATCAGCTGCTGTGAGTCTTTAGCTGTAAAAAACAAACAACACAAACACACTGTGAAAAGAAACAAGTGTATCAAACAAAAATAAATCATTATTAATTTCTGCTCATCAGTTAAACAGCTGGATGAGCAGAAATTCAAACTGGGACCAGCTGTGGATTCAGTCCTTTAGTTTGCAATCAGTACTTTATCAGCTACTCTCTATATGTCAGACTTTAGTTTTAAACCAGCACAGCAGCTCATCTGCAGGAGGATCAGTTCACTGATGGTTCACACTGATGTCACTCTGAGTCAGCACTTCACTGGATGTTAATAAAAACTGATCCAGGTTCAAGTCTGGTAGATTTCCAGCACATACAGCTCTGCATGTGTTACTTTAAAATAAATGATGTTTACAGCCTGATGATGTTTCTCCTCACAGCTGATTCATCATCTGATGCATGTATACAATCATCCCTGAGAATATCATATTACCAACGACAGAAACTCATAATGTCTTTCAGCTACGCCCTACGTCAGACTTCACTCCAGTACGCCTCCTTCTGGTATCCATCAAGCCATGTTGGTCTGCAGTGTCTATGACTTCTACCCCAAAAACATCAAAGTGAGCTGGCTGAGAGATGGACAGGAAGTCAGCGCTGATGTCACTTCCACTGAGGAGATGGCAGATGGTGATTGGTACTACCAGACCCACTCACACCTGGAGTACACACCCAGGTGAGCATCATTTTCCATGGAAACAGACTTTTGATATGAAGTCTGGACTAAAGTTTAAAAGGTTAACATCTGAGAGTCACTGATGTTTGTGTTGAAGGTCTGGGGAGAAGATCTCCTGTAAGGTGGAGCACGCCAGCCTGGAGAAACCTCTGATCACTGACTGGGGTAAATACCTGTCTGTATCTACACACCTGTACACACCTGTACACACCTGTACACACCTACCTGTCTGACTCTCACCTGTGTGACTCAGATCCCTCCTCGTCCATGCCTGAGTCAGAGAGGAACAAGCTCGCCATCGGAGCCTCAGGACTGATCCTGGGTCTGATCTTATCTCTGGCTGGTTTCATCTACTACAAGAGGAAGGCCCGAGGTCAGAACTCCCACTCACAGACCAGTTCATACCTGAAACCAGTTTAGACCAGAATGAAACCAGTTTAGACCAGTCTAAATCTCAAACCACATTACATGAGTCTAAAACTGGTTTGGATCTGGTTTACATCAGTGTTTTATTTTATATACTGATGTTTAAAATTCATATTCAGGCTGTTTTTAAACCAGTTTCACAAAGTTGTAGACCAGTACAGTTTATTTTCAGACCACATTAGTGTCAGGCTGCATTCAAACCCATTTTTTAAAGCATTTTTTTAGAGAACTCTCAGACCTGGTCCAAGCCCTGAAACATGAAACTGAATCACTGTTACTGACCAGTTTAAAACCAGTGTCCATGATTTGTTTTCAGAGTGTGTTGGTGACTGTGTCCTCGTCTCTTCTTCTTTCAGGTCGTATCCTGGTTCCCACTAACTGAGCCTGGGTCCTGTTTGTGTCTGATATTGTAAAAGCAGCTGCTTCCTGTGTTCAACAGACTGATGATGATGATGATGATGATGATGATGATGATCTCTGTCTGGACTCTGAACCTGATCCAGGACCATCTCAGTGTTGTTGGTGGTTGTTGTGGTTTCACTGGGCTGGTCCTGGATCAGGTCTAATGTAGACTCTGCTGTTTGATGCTTTACCTCTGCTGTTTAATCCATGTAATGTAATCCCTGTAATCCACGTCTCTGAATGATTTGGGTGTTTCTGCTCATCTGATTACCATAGATCAAACATTTGTACTGGAGGTCATTGTTCCAAAATAAATGACTCAAACTCTCAGCTGTTTACCTGCATCCTGTTAATGTCAACCTGAGGATTTTATCGAGCTCCACTGTCCTGCAGGAAGGCTCAAGATCATATAGACTTGGAGGTGACGGATATGAAAGATATACAAGCAGTAAATAAATCACATGTTGTGACAGTATATATGGAAATATCATAATAACTATAACTAATACAATTTCAATTTCCTGAGAAAATGGGGTGTGACTGCAAAAATCAGCAGAACAATAAAGATTTAGCAGAAATATTGAAAAAGCTGAACAAGCTGAAGTTCCCTCAGAACTACTTGTTGTTGAACTGTGAAAACTGGGCAGAAACTTTAGAAAAGCCAGAAAGAAGAGCCAACAGGTACACATAATAAGGTAAAAATGACATGACTAACAATGTTACAAATATGGACACACACATTTAAATTAATAACACTTTAAGTGTCGATGTTCTAGAAGGAGTCGTCTGAGCGCGCTCATTAAATCACGTGATGAGAGCGTGACAGAAGCTGTTAGTGTGCACACGCGTGTCTGCACGTGAGACAGTCAGGAGCTTCCACCATTGTTCACAGTAACAGAGGGACTGGCAGCTCACAGTACTGACATCCAGAGTCACCATGAACTGTGTCCAGCAGCAGTTTGTGCCCAATGGAGACACACCTGTGGGGCTCTTCAGTCCCACAGGTGTGTCTCCATTGGAAACAACACCTGTCCTACACAAACATGGCAAACAGAGGTGCTGGTGGAGTTGCTGTTTGTGTGAAAAGTGACATTGAAGTACCTCCATAATGTAACTGATGGTGAGTTTGTGGCTTTAAAAGTTGAAGCTCGGGTGACTGATTTCAGTCGTATACAGACCTCCAGATCATTCCTGAAAAACCTGGTAAGCCTGTCAGACTCATTAGAGGTCATGGATCATGGACCACATCATAGTGTTACTGTGACTTTAATGAGAATGTTTTATCCAGGTGTTACGACCTGTCTAGGGGCCAGGTTATATCATGATTGAGTATTCACCAAGACATAATGTGTATGTCTGTGTCCTGTTGACCTGCTGAAACCACATGATCACCATAGTTTTTCTTTTTGGATGAAAGTTTGCAGGGCTAAATATGTGTTTATGCTGTGTGGACAGACAAACGCAGAGGACAGATCCGAGGTCCACATCATTGGTGTGGCCACAACTGACATGCAGAACCAGCTGCAGCTACTCCTGGAAACCTGACAGAGCGTCTATAGTGAGGGGGAAACGTGGAAGCACTTGGATGAGGAACTGGAGAAGGACGAGGTCACCGTTAACAAGACAATCAAAGGGAAAGAAATCATGCAGATAGAAAAATATCTGTGTCAATAATTTAAATAAATTTATGGTTCCTTTATTTTGTTCAGGCTGTTCAGACAAATATGCAAAATGATATTTTATAAATTATAAAGAATGACGTTCATTGTTTTTTATGCTTATTCATATTTTAATGGCACCTTATTATGAGCAGTACCGTATTTAACAGTAATAGTTTTAAGTGCTTTGCATTAAAGATTCTAATAAAGAGTTGGAAATGCATGAAACAGTCTGCAGCTTTGATACGACACACTTTTTATCTGCTGTTTCAGCATAAAAATGATCTAAAGCAACAGAACGTTCCACCAGAAGGCCAACAAGTGCCCATCTGTGTGGTCAACACCATTAGTGATTGGTTTTTGGGGAGGAGGAGGAGATTAAAAATGTTGTTAAAAAGAAGAATAACACAACTAAAAATAAAGATCAAAGCTTAATGTTGTATTTTGTAGGTATTAAATGGGGTGCGTCCATCAACTCTGTACCTTCAAAGAACCCAATAAATTCCTTTCATTATTCATTTTAACATTGCTGCTGTTTAATGCTTTGTTCAGATAATGATGTGAGGGCAAAATGATGAAGTCCAGATTTCTGGGTGGAAGTGATATCAATGAAACCAGGCGTGAACATTTTATTAAAAGGTTTATCCAACAACACTGAATCACAGGATTAAAGCAGAGATAAATCACAGGATATCAGTTTGTATACAACGAGTGCCACCTGACACACTGAAACAACAAAACGTTTAACACTGAGGTGTTTGAAACATGCATTCAGTGATTTGTAAAACAAAAAGTCTTTAGTGTGGATCTATTGAACCTAAACGTACATTTGTTACGATCCAGCTCAAAAGCCTCAACATAAATATAGAGACTAAAATACGTTAGTGGTACCATCTCTTTCAGCTAAGACAAAGACTGTATACCAATTTAGGTTCTGCAGCCTTAACAGTCTACAAGGGCCGCGAAGACCACTAAGGCCGGAAGTGCGAGGCTTGTAGGCTCATGAAATGGGATGGTCTAACCTCCGTCGCGCTGCCCAGGTTGCCTAGCAACCATGATACCAACTGTGGGAAACGTTTCATACAGCTTTGTGTGACAGAAATGGAGAACATATTTAGTTCATTTGTTTCTACATGAGCTCTGTGTGATTTAATAAGTATCTGAGGCTGAGACCACAGGACTGTAAAACATGATTGTTGGGCTTAGGGTTGGAGCCTCACCTCCTCCACAGCATCCTGCTCCACCTCACCCTCCACCCACAGCAGGCTGTTCATGACAGCACAGTGGATCCAACCTGTCTTCTCTCCTTCACTCTATCCTGCCTAGGGATGGGTATTGATAAGATTTTCACGATTCCGATTCCATTTTCGATTCTGTTTAACGATTCGATCCTTTATCGATTCTTTTTAAAAAGGAGAACACTAAGTTCGATTAGCTTAGAACTTTGTTTTATATCTTCTCTTTGAACAAGATAGAAATTTAGGAGTAACATGGCCTTACAAACCCGACAGTGAGATCTTAAGAGATCCAGCCTACGGCTCTTCAGTGGGGTGTCACAGGGTCCCCAGGAAAAAAAAAATTGTAAATGTAAAATAATAAATAAAGAATATCCAGTAATGTCCATGCCTACAATTAAACACATTCACTTACTAGACTAAAACTGGCCAGTGGCGGACTCCCTCAGACATCGGTGCGTTGGTGGTTCTTTGTGTCCGGGGGTGGGCTTCCAGGTACACACCGGCTCACTCCTTGGCGGCCGCTTATCGGGGCCTGGAGCCTGGGGCTCGCTCGGGCCACTTCGGAGGTGGGGTGCCCCCGGCCTCTCGGCCTGGGGCTCGGTCACTCAGGCGCAGCTGGCTGCCGGCGGAGCTCACGGGCGCGTCACTGCAACTCCCCCTGGCTTCTGCTCCGAGGCTGCTGAGTGAGCCCTCATCTGGGACTCTCCTCAGCTCTTACTGGGACAGTGGCGCAGCTGCCCCTCTGTTGGTCTTCCTTGATCTCTTGTGTTCTGTGGGCCTCTGGATGTCTGGAGTCTTGATCTCCTCCATACCTGCTTCATGCCCTGGAGGACGGGGCTGTGGCCCCCCCACACCCTCTAGCAGATCATTACATGAAGGAACCTTTTAAAAAAACAAGCGCGTCCATGCTCACAGGTGTACACACGGGTGATCACACCCACAAACTACACCCTTTTTGGCTCCTACCTCAAAGCACACTGTGTTCTGTTGATCTTATGTGCTGCACAATAATATTTAACATTTAGTATTTACTGTCATATTCCCATATATCATTGTGATGTTGTTTATTCTGTTACTCTTGTTCTCTTCTGCTTGTTTTCTTTTCTCTTTCTCAACAGGTGATCGATAGATGCATTTTTTTTCTGCCCATTCTGTTTGTTTTTGTCTTTTGCCCTTCTCCCCCGTCCCTCTTCTCAGCTCTTTCTCTTTCTTTCTCTCCTTCTTTCTCCAGTCAAGTCTGTCCCGTATTCAGCAAGTGAAAATAAAATAAACAATAAAAGGTGAATCAAATGGACCATTACGGCAAGGCTGGGATGGTCCATTTGGTAAAGTAAATCCGTTGGGCATCTTTCTTTGCCTTTAGACAATAATTCTGATGCAAAAGAGCCAAACGGGACAGGCAAAAGAAAAAAAAAAAAAAAACTAGACTAAAACTTGTACTGCAGAATCCAGTTAAAAGTCCAAATATGTTTGCTTATTCACAACACTGGCCTCTAAAGAGACACGGGCATCACTAAACTTAGCAAATATTAGCTGCAGGTTAGCTAAATACAACGAATAGGCTAATGTTAGCATTTTACCACAACTTCAACAGATGTAGCTAACAAAAACTAAACTTATGTCCAGTCCAGTGGAATAGCAAAGAAAGATGACAGAAAATGATTGCTTACCTGCAGTTTAGAGGGTCCACCTGAACTCTGCAGCCTTTGAAAGAGCAGGGGCGGATCTAGAAGGGTGGCACGGGGTGGCATGTGCCACCCTAAAATGATCCCATGCCACCCAGAATTAACACTTTGAGCCTAGCTACAGTGAATATAAATGGTAAAACTGAATATATTGCATAGTGTTACCTCCCCCCTCCACCATTAACAAATGGTTCAGCCCATAGGGCAGACCGACTTTGTTTCTTGTTGTCAGTAGCAACAATGCCAATGACTGTGAATCAACACCATGGGCATTTCAGATTTCACACAGGTGGTTGGTTATTCCACTCTGGAAATGGAATGAAGTGTTATTAACCCTCTGTGTGCCGCATCTTCAAATCACATGACTGATTTAAACTGACATAGCAACAAGCTGCAGCCACGCTGAGTCTC